TGATTTAAAAACCATAAAGATTGGATTTAGTGAAATTATATCAGGTACAGGACACGGGAATTATCTCAATTATGCCAATACCATCCTTCTTAATGCAGTATATTCATTAGTTACAAATAACAACGGTTTCCAATCTCTACATTACATCCACGTGATTTCAGGCAAATCTCTACTAATTTTTTTTTTCTGATGTACGGTATACAATAGTTTATTAGTGATTTTGGCATCGTTAAAGTGAAAATCCAAGATGGAAAGTAATATGAAAAAATTGAATTAATATCAAGATAAAGTGATTAACCAATACGGATCAAAATTAAGGAACTCATCAGTCAATTAATTGTCACACATTCCCGTTGTTTTACATGTTCCTCCCCAAAAATGTATAATTTCATGAACGGACATCAATATAGCCGATGTAATTCATCATATTAAAATCATTAATTTTACTTTTCGAAGTAATTTTTCATAAAATGTAGATTATTTCCAAATTATTCGATCATGCAATACTAATTCGAATGCTTTTTTAACAATTCTTTAACCATTATCTGTTTCAAATAATACAAATACTATAATTATATTTTAAAAAGTAAAATATATTTAATTAAATATATAAACCTTCGTTATTAATACCATCAAATAATTTTAAAGCATTAATTCTAATAAAATAATTTCCATCAGGACCGCGCGCGTTCTGCTATATTATCAAGACTATAATCCCAATAAAATTTAACTACTCTTAGATTTTCTCAAAATTTAATTCTGGAAAATCTTTAACCATATTAACAGCACAGCTTAAGATTGGCAGAAGGTACTTCAGTAGTAATTTTTGATGTCAGATTCATAAGATTAAGAAGTACAGATGGACAAACGTAAGTAATATTAAAACAATCGGATCCTCTTTGGTGATAGCATCACCAGTCGAATAAACTAGCACAGGAAATAAAGGTGTCTGAAATAATGGAAGTGATTGCTACATAAAATAAAAAGAAGAGGAGAATGTCTAAATAGCTAGATATGCAAGAAAGATTTGCTTACATAAGGAACAGTCATTATAGGCATATGGGAGGTTTGCTAGTTACGATCATAGTAAATCATATGATCCGTAACGTGATTTCAATAGCCTACCTCCCATATTCTCATCTACAGAAATTATCCGATGTAAAACAATTATAAATTCTAGGGTAATTACTTTGGTAAGGAGCTAAACATTGTTCCCGACGGTAACATAATGTTCTTGTTTTGTAAAATATCTAAGTTTAAATAATTTTCTTACAAGAGTTAATATATCTATTAAAACTTAGAGCTGCAAGTGGATAATTAATATTTCTTCGATATTGAATTTACGATGCCCAAAAAATGAATTGTATCATTTTGGTAGATAGATAAAGCTGGATTCTTTCAACCTAACAGCGTCGACAAATCCTATGCCTCGAATAAATACCTAAAAATGTTGATTTTAAAAAGTTTAAAGTATAAATGGTACAAATAAAGTTAAGACCCAATCAAACTTTCCGAATGATCACCGCTTTTCATTTTTTCATTAACGCTAATATTCTAAGAAACAGAATCTTAATTATCACATATCTCACAGGATTTTTTGAAACGCAGTAAATTGTTGATTTGAACGTCGCAGTATCAACGAATATCAAAAAATAAAATAAAAATACGAAGTCAAGTCAAATGTTTCCAATAACTTGTAATTTTTCATCTTAAAATATTTCTCTTGGTGTTTAACACGAATTTATTATTATCAATTTTTTATTTGTTAAATGTTATAGTATCGTGATATAAATTTGTTAATTTGAAAACAAACAATTAAGCAAAACAATATTGTTAAATGTAAGATCATAATTTTACGTTGCCTACATCGAGGTTCGACAAAGGATTTGAGATCTTTACATATGTTGTCACTATCTGTGATGATGAATAAAACCGGAGACGTTTTTGACATTTCTATCATTTCAGGAGTATACAGTTTTTTTGAGGGGACCACCAGGATACCGATTGTTTTTCTCGGGTACCTTCTAAGCGCGCCTTCAAATCGTAATATGTCGGAAGGTGCTGTTTTCGATTAATTAACATTCTTTCATAACAACAGCATTTAAATTTGATATAATACCTGGCAACCTGCGCGAGTCCTTACATTCGACTAAAAACGGGTAACCGTTTAAACGTCCGGAAATGTCTATTCTGTCGTACGATAATCTATGAATTTAAATGAAAAATATGAGCATTTGCGACATCATTGTCATTGTCAAGAACAAAAGAAAGTTCACAGCAGAAACTATGGCCACGTAGAGCTCAAATCACAGCCATTTTAAACCTAGTGGCAGCGTCACTTCAGATATCACAAAAAAAACCTCGTTGACACACTCACCCTACTTTCTCGCACTCAATGTTCTTATCTTTAAAAGATTTAAGGATTTTTTTGATAATCATTTTTTTTTCTAAGGAACGCATTTTGATATTTATCTTTTCAAGGGAATAAAATTTTGTTTTTCTGATTTCAATATTTTTTTTCATATTTAAGTATTTCCATTTTCGTAAATTGAACTGTGCAAAATTAACTATTATGTCAATTAGGTTGTCGTCATGTATGATGATCTTTCACATTTATAGGAACACTAACATTTATAAAGCAATATTAGTGTATAAAATAACGAATTTACAAAGTTTACAATGAAGAAATAAATAACGAATTTATAATATAATTATCGGGGAAAAAAGAGAAAGTGAGTGGTGTGTATGTATGTCAAAAAAAAAAGTACTTTTCAAAATATCCTTAGAGAAACTGTTGAATATAAATAATAAAAAATTATTAGGACAGAACAGCCAGATATGCAGAAACTTAATCGAAAGAACGATCTTTGGACCAAAATTATTGTATTCAGGTGGAATTATATCAATGTAATAATATACTGTATATTTTTATTAAAACATGATTAACTTAAATGCATAATCCAAGACTTTCTATAATTTATTAGTATTAAATTAAACATCTTTATTTATATTAAACTCTGTATAATAAATCTTAAAAGAAATATTAAAGAATTTAATTCTATATAAATAATTAAATTAAGCCCTATAAAAAATAAATGTCCGGAAAATATCATCGAAAATGTCCTGAATCTATCCAGGTATATCAGAAAATGTCCGGAAAATAACCATTATTTGTCCTAAAAAATGATCACACTTGCTGTTCAGACTTATTCAAACATTTAGAAACATCCGGAATATATACATAAAGAAATTTAATCTTTTTTTCTAATACAGAATATGTTCGGAATTTGTATTAAAATTATTTGTCTATTTTTCTAATACAGCAAATGTCCGGATTATGTATTAAAATTTATGTCCGGAATATGTATTTTTTTTTTTAATACAAAAAATGTTCAGACTGATTTTAATCTAGTCCTTTCTAATTTTAGTTAGTATATATTTTATTTTACATTACATAAATAAACGATCTACGATTGCACAGCTCGAGACCCCTAGTCGCAGCAACTTTCAATATCAGGTGCCAAATTTATTTTTTAAAAAAATCACGTGATTCTGGCCAGCATTAAGAATTTATTATAATTTTGGCCAACTTTAGAAAATTAAGAATTTATTAAAATATTATGAAGTATGTTATTGGGAATTATACAATGTCTTTTATACTTTTTCACAGCATATTCTGCTTGCTTTACATTTAATCCATTTCTATATGCATCCATATATCTATAAGATTTTCTAGCAAATGCTTTTATTTCCAATAAAGTAACTTGATTTAACGCAATAGAAACAACTTGCTGCAATCCATCCCATGTATAGTCACAATTATTTCTTGAATAACGTTTTGCAGCTCCCCAATACATTTTAATATAATTAAGTTCATAATGAAATTTTAGATAAAAATCATTTTGTGACCTTTGTGTTCAATAATTTCTTGAATTATACATTTTTAAGCAAGAAAGTCAGATTGATTTTCTAATATATGTTGCATATAGCATTGATATATGCTTATTGTTAAAATTTTTTAGATGTCTGACAATTGTAATTCATATAGCCTTGATCTTGAATGACCGCTTTTCTTATAATCTCATTATTTGCTCTATCTAAAAAAAAATAAAATAATGTACATGTATTTTTAGTATATAATTATTTAAAAATGATTCTATCATTAGAATATTATGTTTAGTAATTGTGCCTTACTTCTTATTATTTTTTTTGTATCTTTTATCCATCCTTATACAAAAAAAATTTAATAGTTCTCAGATTAAAAATCATATGCAATATAATAGACTTTATTTGAGAGAAATATATTAAAATAAGAGTTCATAACTTATCAAATAAAAGTATACAGCTTAACTATCTTCAACTTCTTCATCTTTCTCTTTTTTCAGTTTTTAATCAGTGTTAAGTATTAACTTGTGCTTATTTTTATACATTAGGTTAATATTATAATTTGTCATCTTTGTTGATATAATCATGAATCTACTTAAGGCTGTAAGTTATTTTTTTTGGTAATGTATTTATAACATCTTTGCATATTTATTTACTAATGTCTTTTTCAAAAAATCTATTGTATTTACAAAATTACTATATGATAAATTGACAGTCATATGACTCAGATTACAGTATTATATAACACTTATTTAATTTCATGTAACTGTAGCAGTAAATAATAATGTGCCAATTAATGATTTATTTTTAAAAATTAGTAATCATAATAATTAATAATAAAATATCTTTTAATAATTTTATTTTTAGAAATCTATCCCTTAAACTATAGAGGTTTGCAGACAAATTTGTCTACTTATTTACTATAAATTCCATTCTGATTTACTTTTATAAAAAATTAAAATTTTTAAAAAATTATTATAATAAATTTTTAAAACTTAATTTAAAAAATTAAATTATTTAAAAAACTTCTTAATAAACTTAAATTTCTTCTAATAAAGTTAATAAAATATATATTAAACT